GAGGCGTCGTGAGGCCGGACCGCAGGAGCCCCCCGTCCCGTTCCCTCGCCCCAAGGAGCGTGTGGAGCCCACCAGCCCCAGAGCTGCCTCTGCTTCGCCTCGCCAGCTGACATGGTTTCAGCGCACTTGATCCTGCTAGACTTCAACGACACTTGAAGCCAAATACGTGGCTCTTTGGCCTTTGCTAACTCAATGCTATGCAAAAGAAAAGGAGAAAAAAAAAAAAGAAGCCTTGACACTGGTTGCAGTGGGAATGGCTGTTTCCTGCCCTGGGTGAGCCTACATGTGGTTTCTTGCTTGTGAGATGAACTAATTCTCCTTTGCCTGGTGGAAGACACGCTACATGTGGCAACCTGAAACTTTGGTAACGCTTGGTCATTACTAAGCAGTTGGAACTTTTACTTTATTTTTTTTTTTTTTGGATAAAGTCACCTAAGGAGCCTTGTTGCCATCTTAAAAAGCATTGGAGGATTCTGTGCTTGTCTTAATTCTTCGCCTCAAGTGACTTTATCACACAGTAAGTGCAACCAACGCACCCACCTAAAATTCTTCTTCAAAGCTCCTTCCCAACCTGGAAGATCAGGGATCACAGACTTCAAAAACTTCTCGTCCTGGGAAAGGCTGCCCATAGTTACTTTATGGGGCAGCAGCCTGGAAAAGTTCTTGGGGACCAAAGGAGGCCGAGTCTGCCTGCCCTGCACTTTATTAAAGGAGCAGGGAAGAAGGAGTCATCGAGGCATGGGGGCCCACACTGTAACGTCTTCGTCGAACACGGTAAGAGGTTTCTATTGGATTTCTCTTGGTTTAGTTTTGATTTGCCGAGCTAGGTGCAATATGGATTTATTCAAGGGCACGGTGCAGGTACAGAGATCCTGTACTTTGTGGAAGTCTTTTGTTTTGCTCTCTTGCTTCTTAATGCAAATCTTGTGTGATAGTTTATTAAGAAAATACTTAACTTGGGTCAGGTGGCTTGAAACCTGGGCAGAGGTTATTGTACAGCTAAATGTGAAATACAAGGAAGTAACTTTTTAACGTTGTACAAGTATCTCATTTCTGCCTTAAGCGTGTTCTTGTTTACAGTCTGGGAAAGTGTTTCATCCTTTTTGAGTTGCCTGGCCCGTAGGTACAGACCTGCCACAGCTGCTGGTGATGCTATGGCCAGTGACAAGTGTCCTTTAATTATCTTCACAAAAGGGACTCTGCTACTTGGAGGGGAAAAAAAAAAAAAAGTGACTTTTGGAAAGTTTGTGGATACTGCTGTTGTGAAAACTGGTCGGAATAAAACAGTTTCTTGTTAATTTGCTTAGCACATTTACAGCACTTTTGGTTAGTGGTTTCTCATAGCCACTCATTTCGTGCGGTGATGGGTTTAAGTGTTAGAGGCTAAAAGCGGCCAAGTTAGGGGTGCAGCAACCCCATCGCTTCCTGGTCTTCCGCAAATTAAAAGGGGACTGAGAATCTCGGGAAAGAAGCCAGATGAAAAGCTCAGTAGAACTCAGAGGTAGGTTTAGTGACTGTTTCAAATGTTGCTTTTTTTCTTTAAAAAAAACCCCAAACCTAAAGAAATTGTAAACTGAAGGCATCTCTACAGAAGTGAGGTGCAAAAATGCATTGTTTCACTGAAACTTATTTGAGTAATCCTTGCTTTTGCACAATGCTTTTTTAATTCTAATATTCTTTGAGAAGACGCACTACTGGCTGCTGTCTTTGGCTGGAGAAGGGGATTTTGACAAAGCTTCTTCAACAGTTTTGTCCTCTCGAGGAAGTTTATCTGTGAACAAATCACAACTGCATCTGTAATCTTCGTGTAAGTAAAAATTGCAGTCTTTGCTGTGTCTGAGAACACAGTCTAGTTAGTGGAAAAGTTTTGATTCAGTTTTGTTTTAGCTGGGTTTTGCTTTCAAACTTTCTGTCACTCTGTGTTGCCAGAAGGGCCGAAGAAATCCTGTGCAGTGTTCAGCAAAGACACAGACAGAGGTCCCGTGTGCGTGCTACTGTGTTGAAATACTGTTACATCGGTGTAACTTCTTTTAATTTCCCATACAATGTTTGTGCACTGAGGAAACCGAAGGTAATTAAGGGAAGGTTTAGAGAATTTAAGGGCTAACTTGGCTGTCTGATGAGAAACCCGCTGCTGGATTTTTCCAAGCCGTGCTTTCAGTCCTGTGACATACCGGCCCCTCCACCCCCAGTTTGCTGCTTTTACTACTTTGGACAGAGTTTCAAGGTCAGATGAGCTACAGCGAGAGCGTGAAGTGCAAGCAGTACAATAGTCTAACTACCTTTGGTGTTTTGATGTAGCAGAAGAGCCAGAAATGGTCCTTTTTGATCATCTAACAGGAATAGGCAGATGGTAACTTCTTGCCAGTATGACCTGAGGTCAGAAGATCCTAGCACATTTGCAAAGAAAAATAGCGTCTCTAATGTCCGTACGCCATATGTCCACAAGAGACCTCAGTGTCTTGATTTCGAAAAGAATCAACTTGAAAAGGGACATCAAGGCCACGACATCTGTTAAGAGAACTGCAAAAGATCAGCCTCGCTTATCCACATGAGGAAAAGTTTCTTCCTTTAGGTGTATGAAATGGTCCTTCGAAGTACAGACAGTAGAAGGCTCTACCGCCGTTGGGTTTTGTTCAGCTCTGTTTTGAGTTTGGGCTGCTCCTATCCTGAAAAACGCAATCTTAAAATAGCTGGAAAAATACAGGGGAACAAAGTTCGTTTTAGAAAGTTCTTAATTTCCCTCTATTTTTTTAATTGATAATTTGTCTTTGAAATACATAGTCTGACATACCTTAATGGACAGAATAGTATTTAGTGATTTCAGTCCTATTCAGATCTGGTGCCATAGGGTGTAGTTCATAAAAATCGGTGGTTTTTCAGGGCTTAAATTTTTGTATGTTTGTCTTCCAGTACTTTCATTACAGTTTCTTCTAAATGCCAAACACTGTATCTGGTTTCTCTGTAATACTGTGGGAACTAGTTTGTCCCACGAAAATTATGTTTCTTGCTTTTCATAACTAAGAATTGCGTAAGGAGAAATTCCAGGATGGGCTGCTTAAAGCAAACCCCTAGAGGTAGTCAAACTCTTAAAGGTACTTGTTTGAAGTTCTTGTATATTAAAACATAGGATAAAACAAAAAAATGCAGGGTTGGTAGTAGCGTGGCACTCTTGTTATGGCTGCGTTTTTGTGAAACTGTTTCATGACCCTGTTTCGGTGGGACCGCTACCTGCTAAGTTCTACTGATGCTCATTCAGCAGATACTTAGCAGGGATTTTCAGAGTGCTGAAGAACCTAACTGCTGTGGTGCTGTTGAATCTTAGCTGGAAGGGTTAGGGAATATTATCAGATACTAACAGCGTAAGGCAAGATAACTTTCAGGGAAGTAATTCCATTTTGCCATCGTCACACTCTCTATAACGCTCAAGGCAGCACATCGAGAGGCTTCTGAAAAGCAAGGAGGCAACTGGCCAGAAATCAGCTCTGCTGGTAGTCAAATGTTCTGTGAGAATAATGCAGAAAGGCTCTAAATTTTGTCATGAGCTGACAATTGAGGAGTGCATTAAGGGGGAAAAAATAATCTATGGGCAAGTTTTGGGCTGCTTTCTTTGTATTGCTGCTTTCTCCACTAAGGGCGTTTTACAAGCTGGAGTCAGGCTGCCGTGGTTACCCTGGGCAGCAGAGTAGCCCTTGATGGGATTTTACAGTCTTCATTTTGAGGCAGATTACACCATCTCTTAGATTGCTTGCAAGCGTGAAACAGAGAGAAAGTGTAAAGGCAGTGTTTGCCTCTTCCCCTGTGCTTTTCTTGGCTGAGAAGTGAGTCTATAGTTGCTGCTTTTTGGGAACATCCAACTGAGAGAAAAGCCGTGGTCAGCAGACAGTTAATGGGAAGGAGTTTGTCAATGCATTTTGAAGTTTGCATTTTGAAGTTTGCACACTAGTGTATCTTGTGCCTTTCCAGAACATTAATCTCAGTAAAACTCAAACTTCTGGAAAGAAAGGCGTATTCCCACCGGGCTCAGCTCTGATCCCAGAGTTGGCAGTAGCTAACTGGAGTGATTGGCAAACACCACACCTTCTCCAACTGTCTTGGGTGGGTGTTGTCGTGCTGAAGGATGAGCAGATTCCCTGAAGCATTTTGGTGGAACAGTACCTGCAAGCAAAAGCAGCACCTGAAGGCTCAAAAAATGGATCCTAATCATTAGCTCTGTGATGCTGAGGTGGAGAGGAGATGCTGGGATAAACTCTTCAGTGAGGTGCTGGATTTGGTCCACAGCTTTGAATTCCAGCTACTGCACAGCTGACTGTCGTGATGCGACTTGGTCAGCAGCAGAGCAGTGTTCTGAGGGGTGAAATCCTGAGCAGTGTCTCCACTCGTGCGAGGCCAAAGGGTTGAGTTTTATACGTACCCTTTGCTGTGTAATTTGTGACAGCGGCTGGAAATGGGGACCATCTTTCCATGGGCATGTTGGTGGGAACACGGTGTGATTTTTGGATTTAACAATGCAAAATTATCGTAAATAATACCTTGAAATATAGGTCTTTCAAATGATGCTATGGTTTGATGTACATATTTGCTGCCATTGGTGCCAGTTTTATTGTGGCAGCCAGAGAAATAACTGACTTTGGAAGAAGAAGAAACCTTCTGAAGAGGTTTTGAGTATGAGCCTTTCTTATATGCTGTGTCTTGGTACATATAATGGATGGATAGATAGGTATCAAACTGGTCTTAAAACTTTCTGATTGTTTTGGGTTTGAGACATTCTGCAAAGTAATACAAATATGACTATCTGTAATGTTGGTAAAAAGAGAAGGAACTTCCTTTTTGAATCTGTGTTACACCCTTACGCTACCAGGGAGTGATAGTGGTTCAGTTTTGAGCTTTAAGTATCTTTAGAATATTGTTGGTAAAGCACTTACACAAGAATGTTCTTTTCTCAGTCTCTTGTAGTGATAAAGTGTGATCTTTCTGAGTTTCTCTTCCAGCAGATAAGTGATAGGGAAGCTTAAATGAGCTGTTTACCTTACTGTAGAGAGACAAACTCCAGGAATTGAATCCCTTTTTCTTATACCTTTAGTGCTGAATATAGCTGAAGTCAGGCTGCTGCCGCCTCTTTCATATTGGATCTGAACTTTTTTTGTTACAAGGGTGCTGAAAGTTTTAGTGCTTTAATTAGGAAGTAATTGTACAAAACAGATCCATAGCATAAGCTTGCCACAGCTGCCAGTTGGAGACATGCCCTATAAAAGTCACAATTAGGGGAAAAAAACCCCAACAATTAAAAGTATCTTTTCCCATATTATTGATTAAAAATTGTTTTTTAAGAGTCTGTGGGTTTAATAATCTATCTTGGTTTACACTGTTAAATTTCATGTTTCAACTGTTTGGATTGTGAAAATGAGTAAATTAGTTTATAATTGGTTCCTTCCTCAGGACTTAGTGATTGACCAGCGTATACAAGTAAATACACAATATTTACTGTTATAATTATGTTGGTGTTTATTATTTTTATGAAGCGCCAGTAATTTTCATACCATGTAGGAAAATGCATAATTCCAAGAAGTTTTATTTATTGTTTTGCTGTGGGTAAAATGTTGTTAATAACTGTATGGGTTTGGAATGTACTTTTATCAGCTGGGTGGTCCAGAGCAGGTTGTGATTTTGTACTCATTATCCTTTATCCTACAGGTGAGCTCAATATATCTTCTTTATGCGCAATATACATTTATTAGGTAGTCAATTGCCCATACATGGAAATAATTTAAATG